TGCTGCTGCTGTGTAGCAATGCAGTACCATGTCTGCCAGCACCCAGGAGACATACGGTGACAATGAGCTGAGCGGGCTCCATGCTTGCCATGGTATGGCGTCTGCACAGGTAACTCAGGAAAAAAGGCGCAAAAGAATTGTCTGCCCTTGCTCTCATGGACGGAGGGAAGGGGGGCCTGACAATATGTACCCAGAACCACCCACAACAATGTTGTAGCCCCATCAGGCACTGGGATTTCTACCCAGAATTTAAATGGGCAGCGGAGACTGCGGGAACTGTGACTCTGGAAGTTGACGGTTGCCTCGGTACTGTGGACACACTCCGCCAACTTCATGCACTTAGAGCATTTGTGTGGGGACACACACAATCGACTGTATAAAAACGCTTTCTACAAAACTAACTTCTACAAAAATTTGACCTAATTTTGTAGTGTAGACATACCCACAGAGAGATAAAGAACGGATGTTGTTTGAACGCCAGCAAACATACACTGCAGTGCTTTGTTCTGCAATGATTCCCGACTATGTGCTACTGGCCTGGAGTGGTAAAGTGTCCTACCATGGAAGGAATAAGGCTGCCCTCCCCAGTAACCTTTTGCAAAGGCTTTGGGCGTACATCCCAGGAGAGCTGCGAATGCCAGGGCAAATTAATCATTAAACATGCTTGCTTTTAAACCATGTATAGTATTTTAAAAGGTACACTCACAGAGGTCCCTTCTCCACCTGGCGGGCCCGAGAGGCAGCGTTGGGTGGGTTCGGGGGGTACTGGCTCCAGGTCCACGATGAGAAACAGTTCCTGGCTGTCTGGAAAACCGGTTTCTCCACTTGCTTGCTGTGAGCTATTTACAACTTCATCATCATCTTCCTCGTCCCCAAAACTTGCTTCCGTGTTGCCTTCATCTCCATTGAAGGACTCAAACAACACGGTTGGGGTAGTGGTGGCTGAACCCCCTAAAATGGCATGCAGCTCATCATAGAAGCGGCATGTTTTGGGCTGTGACCCAGAGCGGCCGTTTTCCTCTCTGGTTTTCTGGTAGGCTTGCCTCAGCTCCTTAAGTTTCTTGCGGCACTGCTTCGGGTCCCTGTTATGGCCTCTGTCCTTCATGCCCTGGGAGATTTTGACAAATGTTTTGGCATTTTGAAAACTGGAACGGAGTTCTGATAGCACAGATTCCTCTCCCCATACAGCGATCAGATCCTGTACCTCCCGTTCGGTCCATACTGGAGCTCTTTTGCGATTCTGGGACTCCATCATGGTCACCTCTGATGATGAGCTCTGCACTCACCTGCAGCTTGCCAAGCTGGCCAAACAGGAAATTCGAATTCAAAAGTTCACGGGCCTTTTCCTATCTACCTGGCCAGTGCATCAGAGTTGAGAGTGCTGTCCAGAGCAGTCACAATGGAGCACCCTGGGATAGCTCCCGGAGGCCAATAGCGTCAAATTGCATCCACAGTACCCCAAATTCGATCCGGCAATGCCAATTTCAGCGCTAATCCCCTTGTCGGGGGTGGAGTAAGGAAATCAATTTTACAAGCCCTTTAAGTCGAAAAAAAGTCGTGTGGACGGGTGCAGGGTTAAATCGATTTAACGCTGCTAAATTTGACCTAAACTCCTAGTGTAGACCAGGGCTCACTGTAAGTAAAGGCATAAAATGTATTCAGTTGGGCAGATAATTTTCTGATTAACTCTTCCCTGTCATGTACAGGTGTAGAGAGTGCGACAGGCTTATTAACTGGTCTCAGATTCTTCCTAGCCATTTAGCAGTTTGAAAATGCAGTCCATCTTAATTCAACATAGAGAGTCCTCACTGAAACCTAATTAAAGTTAAAAACAAATAGGTTATCTGGTGGGACAAAAACCAAATGGCTAAAACAGGCAATTATACTAGTTCTGGGAGACGATGTACTAATAATTCCCGAAACATACAGCGCAATTGATAATTATGGGAGCATGTGCACGGGACACAGCCTCATTTGTGTTCAAAGCTTGTTTGTGGATCCTGTGCAAACATAGGGATAAAGTAGGTAGGGTGTTTCTTGCCACAAATCAGTAAGCGAATGAGTGGGAAGAGATCAGTGTTTATCCACAAACTGCCTTGGCTTGGGCCATCAGGAGAAGGGAAAGGGAAGAACATGTGAAGGAGGGCACCAGATGGGTGAAAGCACGCTCAGAATAATACAATTGAGGTGGAGGATTGCCATGTGGGGGGCTGGGGGGGTCCTTCCCCTCCCATCCCTAAGCATTCAGGTGTGAGGGTTATTTGCTTTGCTTGATGAAATCATTTATATGATCGTTTAGCAATCTGTGTACTTCAGTGTATCTGCAGCTCTGAGTGACTGCAGAGTGCCCTGGGCTGTGTGTGAGGGGTGTTCGGGCAGTAAACTGTATCTTTGTATGGTCACATAATGCTCTCTTGACCGTCTCCTTTTTGTTTAATAGCCCTGTAGGTCTGGTGCTGATTCAGCACATCTTGTTAGCTGAGCAGATTAGGGTGAGAGTCTGTTAAGCCTAAATTGTTCTCTTACTTCACGTCACAGGCTACTTTCTGGAGCTGTGGCCTTGAATGCAGAGCTCTGCAGGAGAAGGGCCTCAGAGTCTGCACTTGAGAGAGGCTGTTCCGGGGCTGGGCTTTTCCTCCTCTGTGTGACGTACATTCAGGTTCTGAATTTTGGTACACCTGCTCATAAGCAATACTCTTGGAAACAAAACAGGTGCTGTCAGTGACATCTGGAGAGGCTTTTGCCCCCATAATAGCCAATGAGAGTTTGTGCTTACACTGTGTGTGTGTTGGGTCTGAAAGTGCTTTGCAAATATGGCTTGATGAAATCTCTCCCCTGTAGTAGAGATTTAGGAACAGCCAGACTGAATCAGATTGGGGAGTGGCAACTCCAGGATCTGACCTTGAAGGTCATGTCTTCACTCCAAAGAGATGTGCTTTTACAGTGAGACAGCCGACATGGTGGAGAATCCTGGTGAAGACTGGGCAAGCTATAGTTTTATCACGGTGAAGCTGATTGAGGTGTACCCAAGGGGGAGTTTAGAGTTCACCTCAATCAGTTATATTGAGGTAAAACGTCAGTTTGTCTTGTCTTGGATTTTCACTGTGTCAGCTATCTTGTAGAACGCACCCATTTGTAGTGCAGATATGGCTTGACAGTGCCCAGCACCAGCTGCTGTAGAAGACGGTGTAAAAAACCCCTATAACAGACAATTCTGGAATCACCTGCTCATGGGAAGGGTCTTCCTAACTCCATACAATTCATGGTGGGCTTGTAGACTGAAGCACTGGGGTTTAGAGCCCTTCTGTTTGTATCCTGTCTACAGTATTTGTGAGTATTCTCATTACCCACATGAATGTCAAACCCTTCCTAGGATCCTGGTAAGCTCCTGGGCTCTGATACCATGTGGCAGGGAGTTCATGGGTGAATTCTGTGTTGAGTAAAAGAGAATCTTTCTTTTTGTTAGTATTAAATTTGTTCCCTTTCAATTTCATTGCACCTCCCCTTTCCAAGAGTGCAAAGGTATATAGGAACTTCCCTATCCATTCATTATTTCCTCTCTCTCATGTCTCCTCTCTGCATGAAATCTTTTAACTGTCTCCTCATACTAAAGAGGAGGTGGGTGTGTTCGATATCTTCCATTGTTGTGTACAGTGTTGTAGCCATGTTGATCCTAGGATATTCACGAGACCTTGTCTCTCTAATATGCTGGGACCAACACAGCTATAACAACTCCTCATGTTGAAGACTTTCTAGATCTCTAATTTTGGTCACCTGTCTCTGAACCCTGCTCTCCTCTATTTCTGCTAAGGTTTTACTGCAATAGGACCACCAAAAGTGAACATAGCATCCATTTATATATTGTGATTATACTATATTCTGTGTTATTTTCTACCCCATGTTTACTAGTCACACATCCTCTTTGTGCATGGAGCAGTTGTTTTCATTGAGCTGTCCTCTGCTGTGTGTATGAGGACATAGAATCATAGAATATCAGGGTTGAACGGGACCTCAGGAGGTCATCTAGTCCAACCCCCTGCTCAAAGCAGGACCAATCCCCAATTAAATCATCCCAGCCAGGGCTTTGTCAAGCCTGACCTTAAAAACTTCTAAGGAAGGAGATTCTACCACCTCCCTAGGTAACGCATTCCAGTGTTTCACCACCCTCCTAGTGAAAAAGTTTTTCCTAATATCCAACCTAAACCTCCCACACTGCAACTTGAGACCATTACTCCTTGTCCTGTCCTCTTCTACCACTGAGAATAGTCTAGAACCATCCTCTTTGGAACCACCTCTCAGGTAGTTGAAAGCAGCTATCAAATCCCCCCTCATTCTTCTGTTCTGCAGACTAAACAATCCCAGTTCCCTCAGCCTCTCCTCATAAGTCATGTGTTCCAGACCCCTAATCATTTTTGTTGCCCTTCGCTGGTCTCTCTCCAATTTATCCACATCCTTCTTGTAGTGTGGGGCCCAAAACTGGACACAGTACTCCAGATGAGGCCTCACCAATGTCGAATAGAGGGGGATGATCACATCCCTCGATCTGCTTGCTATGCCCCTACTTATACATGAAATGATTCCTTTCAGCACACTATGTAAAAATGTAAATATCATTATTCTTATTTTACACTAAGGTAAACTGAGGCACAAAAAGCTTAAGAGACTTGATCATGAGTTTCAGTGGTGATTTTCATCATGCCTCTGTGTGTGAGCCTGTTCTTGATATTTCCTTAAGCCTTTTAGTAACACTCTAAATGCAGTGTCCAGGGATTGATTCTTTCCTGAGTTTTTCCTTTTCCATTAATTTAATTAATCCCCACAGCTTCTAAAGGGTCAGCATTTACCTCCCGCATCACAGGAGTAACCTGTTCCCAGGCAAAGTTCAGAGGGAAACCCATGTTCTGCTGACTCGAGAGAGGGCCATTGGGCTACGTTCTTAGAATGGATCAGCGAAGTTTGTAGAGAGCAGCTTGCTAATGTCTGTGTTTGTGTCTGCACAGGCTAAGGACAGTGATGATGATGATGAAGTCACCATTAGCGTGGACCGGGATCGCTTCATGGATGAGTTCTTTGAACAGGTGAGATGTTGGTTCTCTCAGCGAAGCTCAGAGCTGTGCCGCTGGTCAGAACTCTAAGTGGTGCTCTTTCCCTGACCTCCCACTGGACTCTAGCCACAGAATACATGGCACCTGTGTTCTCATCCCTGCCCTCCAGTTGATGTCACAGTCACGTGTGTAGGAATTGCCAGTGGGAACAGAGTCTTTTACTCGTTGACATGAGGTCTGCCAATTCTCAGGCTTCAGCCTATGTTAGCTCCTCCTCGGTCGCACCCCAGAGCATGCCCCATAAAGGTTTAGGCATTGATTAGAATCATGCAGTCTTCACAGCAGAGCCAATGTTGTAATGTGCAATTACAAAGCCTATGATGTAATGTGAAATTTGATCCTCCAGGTGCATCCATCGAAACCAAAGGGACAACTTTAGCAACTGTTGGTAAATTAGAACAGATGTCCCTATGCCAGTGTGGAGGAAAGCCACTGTCTTTTGGGGCAGCAGAAAGCCTCAAACCCTGCAACCTTTCTTGCCTCAGTGCTTTGATTATAGCAGAAAGGCACTAAAACAACCCTGGAAGTCCCTCTGCATGGGACTGGCTGACTTTTTCTGTACATATCTGGCTTACAAATGGAGGTTCTATTCTGGCATGTGGGTGGCTGTGAGCAATGTGTGCAGCTTTTTAGAACACCTTTATCATAGTGTGTTGGGGGGGTGAAGACATCTCTAGGCAGTCTATCAAAAGTTGAATGTAGGATGTAAAACCCCATTGAAAAGTCACTCAGCGAATTGAAGGAAGAGGTATTCTAGATAGGCAGCCCAGAAAAACAGCATAATGCAACCCTGACTGCATTTCCCAAGACATCAGCAAACTTCCTTAAAGTGCAGTGAAGGTCATCTTCTCACTCACTACGTCTACTCTCCCAGTGTATCGGCCAAGTGTGTTTTCCTTAATGACTAGAAGGTTAACCCTGTGGATCCAGCAGTTATAGAAGAGCAAGCTGGTCTGCAGTTTGACTTGTGCATCTGGAGCAGAATTATTCAGTGTCCCAGATGGAAAACTATTATTCTTGATGCTAATGCATGAGCTGGGAAGCTTGGAGTCTCCTGGATCCCAAGGGAGTTTTCTGGGCTGGCATGTTGAAATAACATTTTCTAACATGTAAACTGAACAGACGTGACATAGAGTCACTGATGTAATAAACATGTTCCCCTGCCCCCAAACCACACTGCTGCACTTTAGAGAGTCTCTTTTCATGATTTAGCCACACTTTTAAGAAGCCAATCAGGTGGTAGCCAGCTAAATTCTCCTGCAGGAAGCAGCCTATGCTGCCCCAGGTCTCCTATGACTGCTTTCAGATGGGGGAGCACTTGAGTCTAACAACCTCTCCCCTTCCCATAGACTCAACTGTCATGAATATGCTGAACAGCTGTGTTCATTTGGGCCATGTCTCCGTAGGTGGAAGAAATTCGAGGGTTCATCGATAAAATTTCTGAGAATGTGGAGGAAGTGAAGAGGAAGCACAGTGCTATTCTTGCATCCCCAAACCCAGATGAGAGTGAGTGAGGCGTTCTCGGCTTTCTGCTCCAGCAGGCTGTGGGGTGTGGGGAACACATGTGTACTACCATGACACATCAGGCTTGATCTGCTTTCTTGAGTGGATGGATGGGACATATGCAAAGAATTAGATGCTGGTACAGTGCGACAGTGGTCATGCTGGCTGTGATGTAACCAGCGTGTGGTGTAAACCAGGAGGCTGATGAAGTGCGTGATGACCATGGAGCTGATAGAAGCCATCTGGGGAAGAGAGAGACCGGAGATGGGCTGGGCAGCTAGGAAAGGAGACTAGATGGCTTGCTGGGCTCTTTTGGCTGGTAGGAAAGGAGATGAGGAGGAACACTGAGGGCTTCTTAAGGCTAGTGCAGAATGATTCTGTGCCTAAGGCTGGTGGATGCAGTGAGGCTGCAAAGAGCAAATGGCCCTTTTAATCCAGGTGAGTCATTTTCCTGTCCACTCAGCTAGAAAACAAATGTAATTGTCTTGTTATTGCTGCCGAGACCCGGAGCTTGTACTCATGCCACTTCGGTATCAAAATACTAATTTACAGACACCATTGCCACCTCCAGATTGTGTCATGACTAGGAAACAGCAATGTCCTCCAGCTCTGCAAAGAGAACGAACAGGAGGGTTTAATTGAGAGAACTGGTGATATACTGCCTGCTCGCTCCCTGGCAATAGCTCCTGGCCAGACAGGCTGCTAAAGGAGAATAAACTAATGAGACAGGATTCTCAATGAGTTCCCACCACTGTAGGCACAGTCTGAGAAGTGATGCAACCCTTTCTGTGCCTCCATATTTGCAGTCTGGGTGTGTGGCCACCCTCTGGAGCTGGGTCTCTGAAATGCCTGCTGTGGAGTGTAGAATGCATGGATGGAAGGACCCCTGCTTTATACCATCCATTTTGCTCCCCTTCTGGCTAGATTATAATTTTTATGCGGGGTGGGTGAACCAATCAGGATTAAATAAGAATTGACCTGAACCTTATTCTGAATCGCAACCTAAGCCCTCTTAAAGGTTGCCTGAAGTTCTGTTTCTATCTGGCTATGGTGCCCGTTCCTGTGGTCTCTGAGTTCAAACATTCAAGTATGTCTTTTCTCTCCCCCATCACATGCTGGTCCTTGGCATAAATGGAGGCTCACAGTCCCCTGTGATGTAGCTAATAGCTATTATCTCCATTTTACAAAGGGGGAAACTGAGACATTGGGAGGTTGAGATATGCCTGAGGTCACAGGAGGAGCTACTGGATTCCCCAGTCCCAAATACTAACCACTAGATAAGAGATCGCAGTAAATGCAGAGGATCTGAACTGTCAGATGCCTATCTGATCATCCCTGTTCATGCTGTTGCTCAGTGGACAGGCTTTTACCAGGCAGTTTTTCCGTGCCTGATTTCTGGAACCTGCCCCCATGGGGGATGAGATTTTTCCAGTTCAGATTTCCTAAAACAGTCTGTGACTTTTTCTTCCCACAGCGAGAGTTTGGGTGAATCAATATGCATGGGGCAGTTATTCAGCACAGCTTGGTGGGACACAGCTGGACCTGCTGCCATGTGCTTCCGACAGGTTGTTCCATATGCTACTAAGGTATAGTAGGCAACAAAGAAAGAAATCCTCCTGTTTCAGAAAGACCCTGTTTAAACTGTATGGTTACAGCCTATGTTGCTCCCCACAGTGCTGCCTGCCACCTTCATTTGGTATCTGATAATAGGAACATAAACCAGTGAAGAGTTTCACTTTCCAAACACATACTCCTGGAGGTCTCCCTCTGCTGCCCTCCAGCATTGTGAGGAGAGCCCTGGGGATGCTGGAGGACTGAGTCTGGTTCCTTTTGACAGCAATTTAGCATCAGATCCCTTGTCCAGAGGGCTGTGGTGGGGGTGACCGCTAGGGAGAAGGCTGCTTTTCAAATGGTGGTAAGCCTTTGTCTTTGGCAATAGAATAACATTTAGAGGCCAGGTTGCAATTGTTCCTGATTCGTAATCTGTGTTTATGCTCTGGGTACCAATAGGACAGCTCCCCTGCTGTAAAGAGTTCATCCCAAGAGGGGACACAGGGAGGGGAGGATGAGGGAGAGGATGTGAGGGTTAGATGTTTATCGATTGGCTTGCCCCTCCTGTCCCGAACCTCCCTTCTTCCTTCTTTTGCTTACTTCCTCTTCCCTTCCCTCTACACACTCTCTCTTCCTGCTCTGTCCTTTCTCTACACATCTTCCTCTTTGCCTCCTTTCTGGCTCCTCCATCTACAGTGTCAAGCGCTAGGACACCCAGGCCCTTAATCCCTAATTACATCTGGAACAGCTTCTCAGTTAATGTTCACCAAGCTCTCAGCCTGATAATGCAATTCCTCCATGCCTTTACATTCCTAGAACCACCTCTCACCTGTCACCTTGGCTTCTTTGTCTGTGTTTCCACCATGAGGTCCTGCAGTAATTATTTAAGGGTATCTTTCTGAAAGATCAGCTATGTTTCCACCACAAAGTGTTGGGCTCACTGCAGGACTCCTTGGGTGGTGTTTTCTGGCCAGGGACGTGCAGAAGGTCAGACTAGATTATCAGAATGGCTCCCGTTGACCTTACAGTTTGTGAATCTATTTAACAGGCTGAGAGCTGATAGAAGGTAGGGGCTCATGGGCGGTTTACAGCATCCCAGAGTTGGAGACAGGATTTTGAAAAGTGTCTGAGAAGTTTGAGCCCAACTCCCGTTATCTTTCAATGGGACGTGCTCCTGCTTCCCTCAGTGATTTTTGTAATTCCTGCCCTACATGCCCATTGGGCAGTAAAAGTAGAGCCTGTGTTTTTTCCTCTCACATCAGTGCAGTGATTTAGCATGAGCTGTCTTGTCAGGAGGGCTGCAGTGGAGGTTAATTAGGTGCTGGAAGCCAGGAGCCTTGCAGCAAATTACAGTGAGTTGTTAGTAAAACCTGCTGAACCATGACAGACGCTCACCTAGAAGGGTAAGTGCCAGCTTCAGTCTCAGTAGGCCAAGGCCCAATGAACTCTGCTCCTCTGCATCATTATGACTGGAGGAGCTGTGGATGTTAGCTACATGCAGGCTGTAGGAGGAGAATGACCAGGACAGTCAAAATGTTCAATCACCCTGATATCTGCTGGGAGAGCAGTACAGCGGTGCACAGATAATCCAAGAAGTTTTTGGAAAGCGTAAGGGACAATTTCCTGGTGCAAGTGCTGGAGGAACTAACTAAGGGCAGAGCTCTTCTTGACCTGCTGCTCACAAACCGGGAAGAATTAGTAGGGGAAGCAAAAGTGGAGGGGAACATGCGAGGCAGTGGGAGGCAGTTACAATGAGATGGTCGAGTTCAGGATCCTGACACAAGGAAGAAAGGAGAGCAGCAGAATGCGGACCCTGGACTTCAGAAAAACAGACTTTGAGTCCCTCAGGGAACTGATGGGCAGGATCCCCTGGGAGAATAACATGAGGGGGAAAGGAGTGCAGGAGAGCTGGCAGTATTTTAAAGAATCCTTATTGAGGTTACAGGAACAAACCATCCTGATGTGTAGAAAGAATATTAATACGGCAGGCAACCAGCTTGGCTTCACAGTGAAATCCTTGCTGATCTTAAACACAAAAAAGAAGCTTACAAGAAGTGGAAGACTGGACAAATGACCAGGGAGGAGTATAAAAATATTGCTCAGACATGCAGCAGTGAAAATAAGAAGGCCAAATCGCACTTGGAGTTGCAGCTAGCAAGAGATGTTAAGAGTAACAAGAAGGGTTTCTTCGGGTATGTTAGCAACAAGAAGAAAGCCAAGGAAAGAGTAGGCCCTTTACTGAATGAGGGAGGCAACCTAGGGACAGAGGATGTGGAAAAAGCTAATGTACTCAATGCTTTTTTTGCCTCTGTCTTCACGAACAAGGTCATCTCCCAGACTACTGCACTGGACAACACAGCATGGGGAGGAGGTGACTAGCCCTCTGTGGAGAAAGAAGTTGTTTGGGATTATTTAGAAAAGCTGGACGTGCACAAGTCCATGGGGCTGGATGCGCTGCATTCAAGAGTACTAAGGGAGTTGGCGGATGTGATTGCAGAGCCATTGGCCATTATCTTTGAAAACTCTCGGCAATCGGGGGAGGTCCCAGAAGACTGGACAAAGGCTAATGTAGTGCTCATCTTTAAAAGAGGGAAGAAGGAGGATCTGGGGAACTAAAGGCCAGTCAGCCTCACCTCAATCCCTGGAAAAATCATGGAGCAGATCTTCAAGGAATCAATTCTGAAGCACTTAGAGGAGAGGAAAGTGATCAGGAACAGTCAGCATGGATTCACCAAAGGCAAGTCATGCCTGACTAATCTAATTGCCTTCTATAACGAGATAATTAGCTCTGTGGATGAGGAGAGAGCAGTGGTCATGTTATTCCTTGACTTTAGCAAAGCTTTTGACACTGTCTCCCACAGTATTCTTGCCAGCAAGTTAAAGTAGTATGGGCTGGATGAATGGACTATAAAGTGGATAGAAAGCTGGCTAGATCGTCGAGCTCAACGGGTAGTGATCAATGGCTCCATGTCTAGTTGGCAGCTGGTATCAAGCGGAGTGCCCCAAGGGTCGGTCCTGGGGCCGGTTTTGTTCAATATCTTCATTAATGATCTGGAGGATGGTGTGGACTGCACCCTCAGCAAGTTTGCAGATGACACTAAATTGGGAGGAGTGGTAGAGGATTGGGCCAAAAGAAATCTGATGAGGTTCAATAAGGATAAGTGCAGGGTCCTGCACTTAGGATGGAAGAATCCAATGCACCGCTACAGACTAGGGACCGAATGGCTAGGCAGCAGTTCTGCGGAAAAGGACCTAGGGGTGACAGTGGACGAGAAGCTGGATATGAGTCAGCAGTGTGCCCTTGTTGCCAAGAAGGCCAATGGCATTTTGGGATGTATACGTAGGGGCATTGCCAGCAGATTGAGGGACGTGATCGTTCCCCTCTATTCGACATTGGTGAGGCCTCATCTGGAGTACTGTGTCCAGTTTTGGGCCCCACACTACAAGAAGGA